GTCTTATCGTTCCCAAAGATCATTTAAGGATCTGTTCGATTCGTTTGCGAAATTTGGTAAGACGAATAGTTACAAGCGTAGCTGGCCCAATTAATTCGGACAATAGTATCGCGGCAGGATAGATCGATATCTAGCAACGACAATAGGCAAGTTTAAAATGTTCCGACTCAATTAAAGGCGTAACTCGATCGCGACGTAAACTTTGTCCGCGTCCCATTAACTAATTGTTTTCGCAACGTTATGGTTTCCCGCCGGGAGGGGAAGTTATGGAAATGAGCCTGAGCCATGCATCAGGTATCCCAGGCAATTCGATTTTCTACGTCTTCGGATTCCACCGTTCTTGTTGTGCACCAGCGACGCACAAGAAAGAACCGGAAGGGAGAATCTGCATTTCCAATGAAGACCTCCCGTCGACACTGCAATTCCGTATTACGATTTCTGAGCAGAATGGATTATCCACTTCTTGCACGCTCTTTTTCTGCAAATTTAGCGAAGCTAAATTCCCAGTTTGGCGAAGAAACTGGGATGTCTTGGTCGTGACAAGAAAACCGAGAATAATGATTGATAGAGATTGAGAAGTGTTAAAAGTGTTGGACGACTCGTTCCTTTGTTGTAATTTTTATCGCAAGACGTCAGTTGTAAAGATTATTCAATCACGTTGGAGAATCTCTTAAGCTTGGGGAAGATGTAAGTTATTATTGATGTAATATTATTTACTGAAACTTGTAATATAATGTTTGCTTGTGGAAGTGAGAAAGAGTTACAAAAATTCGAAGATTCTTATATCTTGTGTATAGAAAGTGTTTGGCAATAATGTAAGATAAAAATTTATTGGTAAGAAAGAACTTTATTGTTGCTAAAAAGTATTAAGAACTTGCAATAGAATATGGATAGTATCCGTTTTTATTTAGAATTTAACAAGAATCTAAAAGCATTAGGTCTTTGCTCGGAAAGAACATAAAATTTATAGCCACTACCGATCCACGCAGCGTCAATAAACATTTAAAAATATTGTCGTTCAACGATTAAAAAAATATGTTTGTGAAAGCTATGTCATTTTGAATTGGTTGAGAAACGATAAATGAAAGATTGAAACATCTATTTATTCTAATATCCTTTCTCTCTTAACATTGCAAACCACATTAAAAAACGTGAAAACGACAGGTTTATAGGAAAACCAATATTATTGTCACAGATCCTTTTGTTGTTTTTATTTTATACGTTCAGAAATGTTATTTCATTTGGGGAAAAAATCGTAAATTTTCGTGAATTCTATGACTTGAAAGAGGTTCAAATGATAAATGAAAAGAAAATTATTTATAGTTTAACAAACGTGATCGTTTCAGTTTTTAAAACATATCTAAAAAATCTTCCAAAAATAAAATGGTCACAAATCACTTCTTTTATGACATTTTTCTTTTCTAACTTTTGTTTTAATTTTATCATGAATTTTATCATATATATACATAGAAATAGCAAAATTTTATAATTTTTATTCTCCTTTAGCACTATTTGTCCCAAAGTAAAAATCTGATAAAAAAAAAAGATACTATAAAAAAGATAACAAAAATACCACGTTTCACGAAAACCTGACGT